CCATTACGCCAATTATTCAAGCGCTAAGCTATATTTATACTGCTCGTCGCTGCGCTCTCTGCTAATCGAAAATATTCCTAGAATTGTGTGAATTCACGGAGGACAGGTTGAAATGTTTTAGTACAAAATAATTTCGCAGTTATATAACGCGGTATCGATGCGTTTCAACGTTTCGTAATAATGCCTTGTTAAATCGATAATAATGCGTGGCTGTATAGTAGGCGCGTGCGTAAGCCCCTGTAGCAGCACGCTGTTGAGTCGTCATTTTTAATTTGACCGAACGTAACGTTATTTATTTTACAGTAGTACTCATCTAAAATTGTTTGTATCTTTACATACATTTTGTATTAATTTTTTTGAATTGTAGGACGTTGATTTCACTGCAACGTTTACTTCTGTTAGCTCTTATGATAATTTGATTAATTTTTATCACAGATTTTCCGTTAAAAATTGTATGTTGATTATATTGATAAATGATTATTCAGTTTCATCCATTATCGGTTCGAAATTATCGATGAAAGTAATTCCCACTCGATGGGTAATACAATTTTAATATTGGTTCGCCTTATATGTGAAATATTTTATTGATTATTGTCTTAAGAGAAGAAAAATTGTGTTGCCTTTGCTACATATATAAATAACAATCACCAAGTGTTTTTGTAGCGTAATGGAAATGCGATAACAATAATTCCATCAATTTTTTAATTTTTTTAATTTTTTAATCATTTTTATCAATTTTATTTCCATCATGTAATTTTTCAGTTGATCGTTTTTAGTTTTCAATGCATATTAACTAACAATATGCGTTGTGTAGAAAATACACCATTCTGAGTATAACTAAAACGCCTCGTCTACATAGCATTTGGTGGTGGTAGTTATCGTATACGTTACGTAAATAATTCGATAAAAAGAACTATGATGACGTAGGGTAATGTTATCAACATTCTGTTTTTTTTCTTTAATAATAATAATAATAATAATAATAATAATAATAGTAATAATAATGATATTCGTCCGGTGATGATAACCTTAATACCACATAGTTATCACCTTAAGGTTATGGGAAAAATATCGTGTATATGCTCTCGGTGGTGTAATCACGAGGAAAACGTAGAAGTATATTATATACACAGGTCTCATTTAAGTTTTTCTTAGGAAAAAAGAAGGCAACATTTTTATCGGCCCTGTGTTCATTTAGTTAAAATAATATGTGTATTACAAAGCTCAAAAAAAATAATAACAAAATAAATATTTTTAAAACTAATGTTTCGTGCGTTTTTTTAGAAGAAAATAAATAATATTGTTACTTGTTTATAATATGATATACTTAAAATTAAAATGTAATATAAAAAATAAATATAAGCTCAAGCTACTAAAGGATCTTAATTCTATGAGATTTCATGTCCGAAAATAGATCAATAGCTTCCTGAAGATCAACTTTTGAAGTTTTACCTTCAACACCAATTACTAGCAAATCACCAAAGCGCTCATCAGTCATTATTAGTCTTAATCATGTTTTTTATACGTTTTAAAGAGGAAAAACTGTTCTTTTGAAGCATTTGATATAGATTGTATCATTAGAATAATCTATACTGAATATTTTAACCATTCATAATCTTTCTAGTATTTTTTATTGAATCGACGACCGTTATTAACAGGAAACTTTACTAATTTCGGTGGAACAGGACTAGAATTTTTGAAATAGAAATGTCATGCAAAATATTTCCATTACCAGGAAAAATTATTATGGTTCTAAAATTTAATGTAAAATTTTTTAAAAAAATTTTCATACCAGATAAATTAATTATTAATTATTTCGCTTACTAAAGTTATTCATTCTGATTCTGAATTCTTAACCAATGCACTTTTTTTTTCTATAGACAATACTAATTCTTCTATGTCTTTAACCATTGAACATTCATTTTCAATGGGTAACGGCAACAATAAAACTTTTAAATTGTTTTCAATCAACATTACATCATCCTTTTGTTTATGCAAATTAAATAATGAAATTGACAGTTAAAACTGTATTTATTGCAACTTTTTATTACAACTTACGTTTAATGAAGATGAAGCAATAAATTAAAATTTAGTTTTCTCTGTTTTGAATCATTTGCTATAACTTTAAGTTAAACAATAAATATTATTTGTTAATTTATCTTAGTTATACAAGGTTTTTTTTCTAAAAATTACAATTAATAATGTTGTAATTGCTATCAAGAAATTAAAACAAAAAGGTGTTTTTTTAAAAACTTATATATTTTTTTTAAATGTTTATTTTAGTAGCAATATTAAGTGATTTTTTGGGACGTAACTGCATGCATATTTTAAGGTTGTTGAGGGCATGAAGTTCTGGCCCTAGTTATTACATAGGTGCACGTGTTACGTACCAAACGCAGCAGATGATTCCGACCAGCGAATATATACGCTCACGCCACGACCATCGCCGCGCGCCTTGCTCTCAAATGTCCGATCGGAAAAAATATAAATAAAAACCGTACAATGCCCTCGTCGTCGTCATTGCCGCTGCCGCCCACAGATGGTAATGAACCACTTGAAGCAAACAACGTAGTACATACATTTATGTGGATATTATAACACGCACTCGCCCTATATTACATAACGAATTAAATTGTCGGAAAAATTCGAAGAATAAAGAAATAACTGCAGTACGATGTGTGTATAAAGTGCTAACGAATGCAATGTCGTAATTATTATTTTTATACATAACTACACGTGAAATGAAAAAACCATTGTCAATTATCGCAAGATTTGAGTTGAGTTGAGAAACATTCATGTAATAATAAATTACCTTATCAATTTAATATGCATCTAATATAATATCTAATATTAGATATTCGCGATTTCGATTTGTTTTGGAAATTATCTTTTAATATTAAACAAGTATATATATTAGGTATATAGATCTATAGTATAGATTCTATACTATTACGAGAAAAATTTTTGCAAACCGTAAACTGTAGTTTTAAGCAAAATGTCATCCTGTGCTTAAGAGTAGGAATATGGTGTTGTTATTAATGTATTATTTTATTGTATTTATACATAATATATTAAAATATATATTGTTCTGCACTCTGAGGAAATCCATTCCTTTTTTGGTGAAACGTTTAGGAGGATATATGTATATACGTTCTGATGTTGGCAGCAGCGGTGGCGGCGGGTCGATAGTTAATGCGTTTCCCCCTCATCGTCGTCACAGGTCCCTTATTTTGGACGTGTTTTCTATCGGCCGTCGGCCGGGTAAATATTTGTGCCACGTCGGTTGGGCACGTGTTGACCTCGTCGATAACCAGTGTAGGCCCGTATAATAGTGGTAATATAGTATAAACGTATTATATTTACACATAAATTATATAATATTTAAAAGTGCATCGCGACCGATTATCATTGTGTTCAGAGACTCTGGGCTAGTGTCCGATTGATTTGCTCAACCAGTTTCAAATACTTCAAATAATGTGCGAAAAAATAGATTAGGTGTTGAAAATAACGTATTAATATACAGGACCGTCCAGGACTCCCGGTAGTGACCGTATGTATGATGAAGATCTAACTCAAGGAAACTCGAGGTTCTCATTATTATTATTCGACAACGATTCGTAAAATGGTCATGTGAACAAATCCCGGTATTTCGTCATAACCGCGACTGAAAGTCTAGGCAGATAAAAAACATCAACATATAAACAATACTTGGAGTAACACAGTTTTTGAGTGAGTGCGAAAAGTGTTCTGAAATCAGTTTAATGTTTACTTAGTGTTAAATTTTTTGATTACTTTCATCGGAAGTCAATTGATGTGTCATAAATAATACAGATACACGGTTTGACTGTTCACATGAATATACGAACCTACTTGTATAAAAATCTAAAATAATTCATTTGATTTCTAAGGCCGTTTATTGATTTTCAACCTATTCAGAGATAATTAATATATAATATTTCCGTCCGTGTTATAAAAAATATGAAATATTTATTTTTCGTTTTTTCTTGTGAACATTATTTGATTCAATTTATGTCTATGATGTCATTGAAAAATATATTATGATATATTTCTGATATATTTATCAGAAATTGTATATTTTATACAAATTTTATTCGGCTTAATATTTAATCTTGATATTGTAATATACTAATGTATTTCATATAGACATAGTTCGGGTTTTATCGTTTAGATATGTATTTTTTTTATAAAATAATTTATTTTTGTTTCAATATTATATTATATTCACGTTGAAAACGAAACATTCTTTTTTTTAGAACTACGTATTTCGTTCCAATAAATGTATAATTTGTTTTGTATCATCCCTTGCACGTATATATACTATATACATTTTGGAGTATTAACTATTAGAACGTCTAGACTATACGAATGAATCAAATGAACCATTATAACATCTAATTTTCCGTTTAGATATTTGTATCATTTGTCGTACTGTGTGGTCGCTGCAAAACTGATATACCAACAACTAAAGCTGTAGTGTCGTTTTTAAAAGAAAAGAAATATCTCGCGATCTCATTTCTTTTTTACGCACACCAGTCACGCGAATTTATATATATATATATATATATATATATAATATGTGTGTATGTCTTTTTTGTCTGACAATACTCAAGGACACGACTTCAAAGATATAGTTGAAAGCAACTCTTCAAAAATGTATACGCGTGTGTCCATTTCCTTCAGGAATTTTCATGAAGCGTCCCGTTTATTATATACAAACATATAATACGTGAACTGCGGAGTAGCGCGCATATTCGACAACGAGACGGGCAACTGGGTCACAAGTGTTATGGTTGTTTTTTAACAATCGTTAGAATTTTTCTTACTCTTTTTTTTTTTTTTTTTTACCTCTCGTTTATTATAACAAAGGAAAATTCGAATCCTGATTTTCCGTTACTTAGTTTTGGTTGTTTCGCCAAAAAATACTTACCGAAACACAAAAATATAATATCGTAATATTTATAATAGTTTCATCTTTTCAGTTAATCCAAGCAAAAAAACAGTTGAACATTAAAAATGGCCATGAAGACAGATGAAAATTTTGAAGTACATTCTTCAATCGCCACGCGGTCTATTTCCATTGCGTTCAGTAAGTAAAATAGTTTATACCTACATTTACTCTACATAATATTACGTACGTACGAATCAGTGTACACTGATGTCCGATATAGACACATAGTGGTATAAGCAATGGCACCGAACCTTATGTCCACGTTTTCAGCCGTAATACATCATTTGGATGGGTGGTAGTGAATTATAGTTTATTCCGAATGTAATTCAGTGTATAATAAAATAAGGAGATACATAATTTAACTATTAACTATTTAGCACATACACAAATATTACATAGCTAGTGTTTTGCTATAGCTAACTGCCTATTGACTAGTTATTTCCTAGTATAGAAGTTGTTAGTTAATAGAATTATCCAATAATTATTTACCACTAAATATAGTACCTACATGTAGGCGCATACACGCTGTATGCATACACGCTGATACGCAATCATTAATCCACGTGGTGGGCTGGTGCACGGGGTCGCTAAATTGAGGCATCAATAAGAATTACCGTGGTAGAACTCCATTTGGAAAACCTTTTACAGTTAACTTGTAAACATGACTAAGAGTTATGGATGATTTTTATACGAAAAATGCATAATTGTCTAAAGTTATAAAATACTAATTTACTTTGAAAAAATAACAATTTACCATAAAATATTTAAGTCTTATTTTATTATATTTCATTTTTTTTTTTTTTTTTGATTGTCATAAAAATAAAATACAGTGAAACCTCCACTAACGGACATCTTCCAATAGCGGAAGTTTTTTAGGGAACGGGAACATTTTCACTTCTTTTCAATGGAAAAACCTCCTAATAATGGACTCTCCGAATAACGGACATTATTTTAATCTTTATTTGAAAATAATTCGTATTCAAATTCGGATGTACTCTCGTAATAATGTAATTATGATAACAAACTTGTTATGGAATGATAAGATTACAATTCTTTGGATGCTTTGTCTGCTGAAAAGAGCATAAGTTATTTTATTTCGTCAATAGAGATAAAGAGCAGTTCTATTTTTACTTCTGCTATAATATTAGGGAATGATATTACTAATGAGATTGCACAGAGACGGTGTAATTATAAACAAACAAAGCTCAACGATTTTTTCAAACAAAAATAATCTAAAAATACATGTATGTACATAATTTTAATTTTGATTGCCAAAATATACCTTAAATAATAATAATTAATAATAATTTGTAAAAATATAAAAATTTAATAATTTACATTAAATAATGAGTAATAACATAATACATACATACTACATTATTATATAAATACATTTCAAAAGTATCCCCTCTGAATAATCGACACCTCCGAATAACGGACAACATTTTGGTGACCGAGAGTGTCCGCTATTCATAGGTTTCATTGTATTATATATCATAAAAATAATTTACTTATTACTTATTACTTAAATACTCGAATTTGTAAATGTTTAGAGGTAAATAACTATTTTAATTTTTATTTAATGCGTTTACATTAACTATAGTAATTAATATAAAAAGAAGATATTAATTGAGAGGTATGAAGAATGAATAATGTAGAGTTTTCTTTGGATGTTGTAAAATATTTTGAGCGCAATTGGTGTATGAAAAGGTCATTTTAAGTGCAAATGGTAAACGACCGATGAATCCTCCCTCGGTTTTGTAAGAAAAAAAAACTGATGTTGGGTGTTTGAATTAACTTTTACAATTTCGCAACATAACTTGATGTGGACTTTGGTGCCACTGGGTGTATAAGTCTAATATTCAGCGTATGCCTCCAATCAATAATGACATAAATACAATATTTTGAATCTAAAGGACAACGTCCTTTTATTCATATATTATTCCCTTCCTTGTCGCTTCGCTTTCGTTACGAAGTGGAAAATGTAAAAAATGCGTCTATAACATCAAATTTATGTGTTATTATATTAGTAATTTAAATTATATAAATAACTTAATAATTTAAAGACCTATTATAAAATATATTATACGTTTATATATATATATATATATAGTATAAACAAATATTATAAATTCGACCAAAAGAACTATGTAGAAATCGATTTATTTTTATTACATATATATATACCTAGATTAACAAAATGACAATCTTGATGAAAATCGTTTCTTTCTAAAGTATAAAAATCAAATTTAAAAGTGTTTGTACTGTAACATATCTACTATACTTATTTAATTATTCTAAGCTATTATAAATCGAAATGTTTTAATTGCATTATGTTAAAATAAAGCTTTACTTCGGTATTTATCAAAATAAAATTAAATAATTAAAATAAAAAATAAACAAATTTAGCTGACCGAAAATTTCATGTTTGGTTTTTGTATTTAATATTATACGAGTATATAGGTCACGCAAAATTATCCGATTTAATATACTGCTATAATAAAACCATGATGAACACCTTATTTTGTTTTTGGTAGAGTTATAAATTTACTATATAGATCTGGGTATTTAAAGTTAAAAATGTATCCCTTTGTACGACAAATTCTTTACCCAGTAAAACACAGTTTTCCTAACTATATTTCATCTAAGTCATGTGATTTAAATTTGTGTTTAAAAATAATTAGTTTAATGTATAAGGTACATGCGTGCGTGTGCTAATAATGGTTTTTAACATTGTCGCACTTTGCAAAAGTTTTGTATATTGCATATTAATCGTTTATTATTCAACTTCGTTCAAACCATACCAACTAGTATGTTGACTGTGTTTACATTATCGTTAAAATTAACGCGCTCAATGGTTTATTATGATTTAAATGGAATGCGATGTGAGTAAAATATCGAATCATTTGTATCATACCTAGTATGTTTATTTATTTAAAATATCATAGAAAATTTTTCTTATCGATCTGAATTAATAGATTTAATATATATATTAATTAAAATTTTATAAAATGTTAATGAGTTTAATATTTAGACGTAAATATTCATATTTTATAAGTTATCATTAGAAAAAACGGTTACCATAATATTTTAATTACACCACATATTTCAATGGAGGTACTATGTAGTACATAATGAATTTAAACGAGCGTTGTCATTTTTAACTCTAGATTATGTTCAAGAAAAAGAGTTTCTGTTTTTATTTACACGTAAATTCTCTTAAATAGTTTATTAGTGTATAGAGGCTAGAGGCTATACAAATACCCTAACTTTTACCAACGCGAATAGAAATACAACTGCTGTATTCGCTAATCGATGACAAATTCACTTTCAAATCTACGTGACTGACCTGGCATAACCAAACGATCTTAGGTTAGAGTAGGTAAATGTAAAAAAGGGTGGTGTATTTTATTATGTTTAAATTCAGTAAAAGGTTAGTGACGCATTTAGGGGAGGGGGGCGATGGCCTCGTGGGGCATTTTTTAGGGGCAGCATAAGATTTTTACATAGCCCATTTTATGCTGATGAACAATAAAATAAATTGGTTAATTTTTTTTGTATCTAAGATAATATTCTAAGATTGGAAATATGCATAGAAGGAGGGGGACAAAAAATTGTCGACAAAAAACAAACCTTTCCTTCAAAACGTAAATAAGCAAAAAGAAAGTCTTAGGTATAATTTGTTGTACGTAGAATACGTAATCCGTAATCTGAAAAAAAGATTTACAATATATATACATATAATAGAGATATATAATAACATAATATAATAAATTAAAATATAATAATAATAAATAATAAATAAACCCATTTTATATTTGTGACTAATTTATAATGATAACATATTGTTTAAAGTTTAAACTGTGCTTTCTTTTTCTAACAAGTAAAAATTGTTGAATGGACATTTTTGATTAAATAGTCAGTGGGAATTGGTTCCACCAGAGAATACAAAAAGTGAATACATTAAAAACAAAAATGTAACAAATAAGTTGGAAAGCGCTTGAAAAGATAACGATAATGTAAAGAATGTTATACGGTCTATGGGTGGTTACTTGAAGGTAAGTTCCGACGCGCTCAGTAGGTGGAAAAAGTTAAATAATTATTGTGTGTGTGTGTGGGGGGGGGGGACGTTAGCACCTGGACGCCAAATTTCTGAATAAGTCTCTGCAAAAATTCCATTGCTCCGTATTATTGTTTGTACACAAAATTAAACTCGTCCGGTAATATCTTGATGGTTAATGGAGTAAGAGATTTTTTTAATAATACGTGTGTATTTGTTCGTTTACATGTGTCATGTGTACTGTGTACATAATGTATAAATGTAGTTTGCGCGGTTCATAGACTTTTCATTTCACACTGACTATTTTTATCGCATTATCGTACTAGGGTCCTTGACCTTAAACCACGTTATCTACTGTGAAAAAAAAATACATATGTTACAACGCGAGTATAAAAATCGTTGTTTATATTGTTCGCATCGAATAATACATAAATATTATTTGATTTCTTCAATGAGCACATTTTTCGGCAATCAGTCGTTACTTCGAATCCTCTCTGTGATTGTATACTTGAAATATGAAAAAATATAAAATATAAAATATATAAAATTACTTATATTCATTACATATTATTTAAAATGTTAATTTCTTTAACAAATATTTGATAATTTGTTTTACAAGATAACAATTCTTACGGCACTATACGGCAAATACATGTGTACGCTCGAATGCGTTTTACATAATTAAATTATGTTATAACACATTTTCTAAATAACAAATACACAAATAACAGTTAGTATGCAGTTATCTTTAAAATTTCAGTTATTTTGTTGTATTAGTTTAGGTACTGACTGATGGTTGTAAAAATAAAGTCTCGTTAATTTTTTTTGTTAAATTTGTTACGGAATGTATCTTTACTACATATTTTCGCTATAGCGATTCCTAACAAATTTGTTTTGTTCATTTTATATACGTATTATATTATAAAGTGTGCAATACGTGTTCAGTCAAGAACCAAATAAAATTTTAAGAAAGAAAAACGTGGCCCATTATTCATATTCTTAACCTATTTATAGTATATAGACGGTATTCGTTACAAATTATTATAATATTACATGTTCACTTGAAAAACTGAATATA